GCTCAGAAGATTAAAGCAAAGCTAAACATTAAAGTGGGAAGTATGAGAGCAAAATCTGGTTTTATATCCTGCTGCTGTCTTTATGATGATTTCTAACCTATTTAGTCCTCTCCCAAATGTGATGAACAGTATTGAGAATTTTGAAAAAACATACCAGGCTGTAAATTAATTATAGCATAGAAGATTGCTCAGGCCTTGATGCCGAGGGAAATTCAGACAAATTCAGGGCATATTTTTGCATTTAAAGGACCAGCTAAATGTCTGAAATCCTTAGACGTAGAAACCCTATGTTCAGTTAATTGAAATACTTTTGCAGGGTTGATCCTTCACTTCTTCTGCAGGCAAGAAGTTATGGGGAATTATTCTGAAGGAGAATTATTTGTTTATTGTAGTTATGTTAGTTTGCCCATTTCTGGTAGCAAACATACTATACTTCTGTACTATCATAAAGGAAGACACAACCCCCAATCCAAAGAACTCACAATCTAAAACAGATATAGCAAAAGAACAGCTAGCCAAATGCGGTCATCAGTGCGGTCATCTCAGTTTACACCAGCTGAGGATTGTCCCAAAGTAGTTAAGGTAGAGACTAGCTCTGTCTTGCTGATTCAGTGGTTTTTGGCAAATGTATAAGATACTGAGCCATTGGCTTTAGTGATGTTACGCCAGCAGAGAATTGGGCCCACTGACTATCCCCTTTACTCCTGAATCTGCCAGTAGTAGTTGGGTGGATTCTTGTAAGCGTGGTCCTCAAGAATATGGAGAATTTATAAACTATTCAAGATTGGTGGGAATTTGTTTTCTCATAATGGGAAAATATTCAAGATTTTGTACATTTTTTCCTATTTAAAACTGAGACAAAGTCAAAAAGCTCAAAAATTGTTCACAAAGCAACGTATCTAATTTTGTTTTGTTTTGATTTATTTAAATATTTTGTTTAAAAATGTTGAGATATTTCATTTCGCTCAATCATTTTTCACATTTTTAAGTTATTATTAGCTTCAGGGAGTCGCTGTGTTAGTCTGTACCTACAAAAACAATGAAGACTCCCCTGCACCTTAGAGTATGTCTACACTGCACTGCTATTTTGGGATAGAGGTATCCTGAAATAGCTACCCCATATCCCAGGAATGCGCCCTTTATTTTGAAATATTTTTTAAATATATTGAAATATTTTTCAAAATAACGGACTATTTTACCATCCCGGTAAATCTTGTTGCATGAGGGTTAAGGAATGGCTCGTAATAGTGCTTTATTTTGAAATTTGGTGCCGTGTAGATACACCAAATTTTGAAATAGCCTATTTTGAAGTAAAATTTTTAAAAAAAGATACGCAATTTGCGTAGCACAAATTGTGTATCTTATTTCGGGTTTTGGGTGCAGTGTAGATGCACCCTTACAGACTAACAGATTTATTAGGGCATAAGTTACAGAAGCAGGGGTATATATAAGAAAGAAGTTGCTTGTGTTAATGAGGGTGGAAGTGGGTTATTCACAGCATTTGGTGTGGGCATGTGAATACGAGAGAGGAAATTGTCTTTGTAATACATTAACCAGTTGAGATCCTTATTCATTTCTATGTTGATAGTGCTGAATTTGCAAATGAATTCCAGTTCAGCTGTCTCAAATCTGAAAGTAGTCCTCCTTCTAAAAAAGAATTTCAAACCCCAATGAAGTGGATTTTATCCACAAAAGATTATGCCCTAATAAATCTGTTAGACTCTAAGGCCATGTCGACACTAGAAGATTATTTTGAATTTGCTAAGTTCAACTTCTTGGCACCCAATTTTACAAATTCAAAGTTGCATGTCCTCACAATGGGGAAGAATTGAATGTAGTCCTAGGCAGGCTCTGTTAATGTGGATGCTCTACCTTGGACTCAGAGCCCCAAGAAGCACTCTGGGGAGCTGAGGGAGGCCTCCCAGAGGCCAAATAGTTTGAATTAGTGGCACCAAAGTGTCCACACTAACATTATTTTGGACTCGCAAGTTCAGGAATAGCATTATTCCTTGAGAAAATAGGACTACAGAGTTCAAATTCCATGGTCCCTTATTCTGGAATAATGGGCTTGGTAGGGTGGATGCACTGTTTATAAATTCAACCTTGGGGATCTAATTTCAGACTAAGGTCCTGGGCTACGTCTAGACTGGCATGATTTTCTGCAAATGCTTTTAACGGAAAAGTTTTTCCATTACAAGCATTTGCGGAAAAACGCGTCTAGATTGGCACAGACGCTTTAGCACAAAAGCACTTTTTGCAGAAAAGCGTCCGTGCCAATCTAGACACGGTTTTGCGCAAGAAAGCCCCAATTACCATTTTTGCCATCAGGGGTTTTTTGTGCAAAACAGTTTTTAGCTGTCTACACTGGACCTCTTGCACAAATACATTTGCGCCAGAGGGCTTTTTCCCGAACGGGAGCAGCATAGTATTTGCGGAAGAACACTGACAATCTTACATTAGATCGTCAGTGTTCTTGCGCAAATTCAAGCGGACAGTGTAGACAGCTGGCAAGTTTTTCCGCAAAAGCAGTCTCTTTTGCGGAAAAACTTGCCAGTCCAGACGCAGCCCTAGTGTAGACCAGGCCTAAGGTGCCACAGGACTGCTTGTAATAATTAGCTTAAATTTCAAAACTTAAATTTCAAAACTAAAACTATTTTCAAACCAGGAAACCAAATTTGTTTCATTTAGAAAATGCCAAAACAGGACATCTAGACAATTGCAGATTTCCCCTCCCCCCAACGTTTTCTGACTCGAGTAAGTTGCCTTTACTGTGCTAAATAAACATTTTTCGATGGAAAGAAATATCACTGAGTATTTCCTGAACAACTCTAGTGGCTATGCAGTCCAGATCAGAAAGGGCAACCCATGCATAGGGGATAGAGCCTCATGCAAGAAAAATAGACCAAGATCACACTGAGGCTGGAGTTGTTGATGTCACATTCCTAAGGCCTGTTTCTCAAAATAGCCACCTTGAAGGCTTGTCTCTGAAGACTTTTCAGGTTACTTATGAAATCAGAGGCAGCAAATAAGCAAAATATTTACATATATTTTTTCAAAAAAATCAGTTGAACCTAGTTTAATTTGGTAATGATTTCCATTGGAAGCTGGGAGTTCTAGATAGCACCCAGAGAAATGCAGTGTCGTTCAGGTTTTAGGAAACTTGTCTGATAGTCAAAGGAAGTGGGTTCTTGTCTTAGTTCTGTCATTGGCTCACTATATGACCTTGGAAAGTCACTCAGGGCTTAAGTCGGGGCAGGCAAGAGGTGGCTAGCGGGCTGGATCTGACCTGCCAAGCCACTGGATCCGGCGTGTGGCCACCTCACGGGCACTCTTACTATGTAGCAGCTGCTGCTTTAAAAGCTGGCTCTCCATGCTCTGAACACTGGGGAGGAACTGGGAGGCTTTCCCCCTAGCAAAATCCCTTAGCTCCCATTTGCCAGTTTCCAGCTAATAGGAGCTAAGAAATTTTGCTGGAGGAAGGGGCAAAGCGAAGCTTCCTCTGCCCCTCATTTCCCCCTCCCCATGATGGAGCAGAACCATGTGGAACAGCCAGTCCAGCAGACAGGCATGGAGCCTGTCTCAGGTTCTGCAGGGCTCCTGGCTGGGAGCTGCCTAGGTAAGTGTCTCTTAGCCAGAGCCTACCTCTGGCACCCCACCTTCTCTCTCCCCACAACTTCCTGTCCCAGGTCATCACCTAAACCCTCTGTAACCCCTCTCTCCACCTCCTCCAAGTCATGACTCCCTCCCAGACCCTACACTCCCTTCTACATGCCTCCTCCAGGCCAGAATCCTCTCCTGCACCCATAGCCCATTCTGCAGCCTGCCCCCCCGAGCCTCTGCCCCAGATCATAACCCCCTCTCTGGACCCTGCCCCCCCAGCCTCTGCCCCAGATCATAACCCCCTCCTCCATCCAAACTCCCTCTCAGACCCCACACCTCCTCCTCCACCCCAGTCCTCTATCCCAAGCTACTTTCTATACTCCACCTGCTGTCCCTGATGATCCCGCACCCTCTCCACAAAATGCAGCCCTTGACCACTTACCAAAATCTTAGAGTGCCCCCCCATTTAAAATTATTGCCCACCCCAGCTTAAGTTGATGTAACCTACCTTGCACAGGCGTATAAAAAAGCCCTATCTGCAAGCAACATTAGTTAAAGACCAATTTAAAAACAGTGTCTACACCATACTACGTCAGTGAGAAATGCTCTCCTGCCAACATAGCTTCCACCACTTGTTTAGGTGGACTAATTAAGCTGATGGGAGAGCTTGCCTGTCAGCATAGCATGCCTTCACCAGACACACTGTATCTGCATCGATGCAGCAAGATATTGAAGACAAGCCCTTAGCCCACAAATTGTATAATGATACAGGCAGTCCCCGGGTTACGTACAAGATAGGGACTGTAGGTTTGTTCTTAAGTTGAATTTGTATGTAAGTCGGAACTGGTACATATTGTAGGGGAAACTCTAGCCAAACATTTCTCCAGAGCTCAGTTTTATTCTCCCACACCTCACTTCCCTCAGTCCTTTATTCTCAAGCTGAGGTGTCTGCTGAGAAAAGCCGCTCCGCATCTCCCTGGTCTGCTGGGGGGGGGGGGGGGGCGCTAGCTTCGCGTCTCCCTGGTCTGCTGGGGGGAAGCAGCTAGTGCAGGGTTGCCTCACCCTGTTTGTAAGTAGGGATCTGATGTAAGTCGGATCCATGTAACCCGGGGACTGCCTGTACTTACCTTTCTTGTAAGTGCTCTGAGATCTTTAAGTAAAAGGCACTGTAAGTAATGCCTGTTTCACTTCTGATTAACAGCAATGTAAATCTGGAGTAAGTCTGCTGAAGTCAGTGAAATTACACTACCGTAAGTAGGATCTGTACAAGTGTTATGATAGATTGTGAATTGAAATCAGCTATGAGAAGAGAATTTTTCCCGCTTTTTCAGAGTCAAATGTTCTATTCATCGGACAGCCATAAATGCCTTTTCATATAAATGCCAATATCTGTTTTGTAGCCCCTGATGCTCCATATACCCACTGGAAGCAAACTGTCTTCTACTTAGAGGATTACCTAACTGTGAGAAGAGGTGAAGAAATCTATGGATCTATATCCATGAAACCAAATGCAAAAAATGTGGTAGGTCAGCTACCTTGGTTTTCATTTGTAGTTGTAATGCTCCCTGTACTATTGCAAGAGTAAACAGAGTGAGCTTGTTAGAGTCTGAACTTAAGTTTGGTCACGGGAAGTCTGTTCACAACCTCATTGAAATTAGATGCAAATAACTATGTTAATGCAATATTAATGTTACACTGTTAAAATTGTAAAGCAGTCAGGGTGGGTGAAAAAGAAAGGTTTCTAATACAGAGCTAGGTCAGTTGTACAAAGTATCATGTATGTTTTCTGGCTCTGACTTTGTGACATAAAAAGGAAGGGCATGTTTCTATTGCCATCAAAATCAATAATATTCCTGTGGTTTTCAGTGGTGGATGATCAGGCGTAATTACTTAAGTTACACATTTGGAGCTATATTTTCAAAAGAACTGAGATCCTGGCTGTTCCCTGTTAGGCACCTATGCAAGGGCTTACATATTTACAGATGCACTCAGCTCGAATATAGGCAGCTAACTTAAATTGTTAGGGTCTCAAATAATTTCAGCAGCCAGCAGTTCGTGTTCTTCTCAATGGCAGCTGTTAGCTGCTGAATACTTTTGTAGTTCTTCCATATCAGCTGGGGGCCAGTCTGGGAGCTGAGGTTTGTTTGAAAATCTGGCTAGAGTTGCGTATGCTGAACTCTTTTGAAAATGTGACCCTTACAGACTAATTCAAACTGAGCCAAGTGAATTGAAAGACTCACATTTACTTCAGTGGGTGGGGCGAGTCCATGATAGGGCTAGTCAAAATTTTTCCATCAAAACCATTTTTTGAAGGAAAAATCTGAATTTTGTTTGGAAATGGACTCACCTAAATTTGAAAACCCCCTCTTATTCCAGAATAAGTGTTTCTGCATGGGGATTTATACCTGTTTCAGAGTAGCTATTCTAAAACTGCTATTTTGGTAAATTTTCAACAAGCCTATAAAGAAGCCTCTGAGAAGAATGTACAAAGCTTCCATAGCTGTAGTTACACAACAAATGTTGTTGGGCCATTTATTCTGATACTGAATTGCTAACAAAAGCACTGTGGGCATGTCTTTCTGAGTCTGTGCTTGTTCTTAGGTTAAGTACAGATAATCAAATTTACACACAAAACCACGTATAGTCTTACTTATGTGTTACATCTAAATCTTCGTTACAGCGTGACCTGGATTTCACAGTAGATTTGGATTTTAAAGGACAGCTGTGCGAAACATCTGTATCTAATGACTACAAAATGCGCTAGCACAACCACCTCATGGGAGATGGAGAGGAGAATTGCATCAAATCTTGATCCACTGCACTTCAAGCTAGAAACAATTGTTTGCAGGTCTATTATATTAGACCATAGAAAGTGTACTCTGGTGGCAAGTTGGTAACCTGATCCCTCCTGCTGGTGGCACATGGAGATGGCATCCTGCTATGAATGTACAGTATACAGAACCATAACTTGTCACTTCTATAGGCAAAATAAGTGAACAGTCTTCAGTGCTCTGGTTAATTTTAGGATGACAGAAGATGTATAATCAAATTGTATTACTGTGAATTTCTGGTTCTTCCAAGCTTTGCATGTTACAGGCAATTAGGACAATTACCTTGAAAAAAGAAGACCACTGAGACACATTGTCATGATAGCATTACTGAGATTATAGTCAGTATAAACATATTATAAATATATTATAAATATGAAACTATGTTGTACATCAGAAGGATTCTATTGCTTCATAATCAAAATTTGTTTTGTGATTAGATTTTTCTTCCCATTAGGCAACAATAGAAAGTTAACAGTACTAGCTCTGATATTAATCTATCTAGGCAGATGCTCCAATTGTCATTCACTGCCCTCCTCTGTAGCTTTGGGGAATATTCCATATTGATTGTTAGTGTGAGCTAGAAGGTAACCGAAAATCAGCAGCTATGTTCTAGGGTACCAGTTGGAAAACATAAAATATCTTTTACTTTCATGTTGATTTCTATACCATTCAGACAGACATTTGCCAGTTATTTAAAAAAAAACAGGTTTAACTTTTCATCATTTGGGAACATTTTGTGATGAATGATTATGGTGGGATTTTGCATGAGATGCTTTTAAATCTGATATACATTATGTGAATGTGAGGAGTGAGAAGCCTTTAAAATGGTAGATTAATCATGCTTTTTTGGCCATGTCACATCTCAGTTTACCTCTCAGCCACCATCTTACTACAAAATCATTTTAGTTCTGAATAAACAGGGGTTGGGGTTTACTCTTTTGATGGTGTTGGACAGGTCACTTTAAAGTACAAATGTTAGTCTTAAAAGTGCAGTGATAACCTTTGATGAAATAAGGTAATGTTTATTTTTTAAAATTGTGGTTTCTGATATTATGAAGATGTCTGTAGCTTCCCCGTTCCACTTATTTTAAGTATATTCCACTTATAGTAAAATGTTAACTGTTTATATTCCTTGAGATGTATGTATCACTTTTTTTTAACTACATATACACATATTGGGCATTTACTCACAAGTAATTTATTACATTGTTGCATCATTGTCTTCATCGTATGTCTTCTGGCCATCAAAGGTATTAGGCACAAAAATATGTTCGTGTCATGTACTTATTAAAATTGACTAGCTTTCTGTCTAAGCTAATTTCTTTATCAGCTGCAGCTGCAAATGAAACAGGCTAGAAGTTGTGAAAAACTAACAGTGCTAACGGTGTAAGCTTGTCCGTAAGCTTTTCTTAGGTTCCCGTCTGCTCAGTGTAAAAATTGTCTGCATTTAACCTTTTAGACACATTTCTATTGTTTTTGACTTCATCTGAGAGATGTACAGTACTTTCATTTTCTTATGGTCTAAAGATGATTATCTTGGGATCATGGTACATGGCATCTATGTAGAATGAAATTAAACTGTAATTTGGCAGTAAAACAAATTGTTCACTGTTCAGTTAATTATGATTCCTTTAAAAAAAGTGATGGCTTTCTTTCAGCCAGGTGTTGATGTCTTTACTCACACTTGGGTATCACCTGTACCAAGGTTATCCACCCCTTTAAAGAGCAGGGAGGCTGGGGAGCAGCTAGCCTGATTTTGGAGAGGCAGCCAGATTATCCGGGGAGGCTGGGGAGCAGCTAGCCGGATAATCTGGCTGCCTCTCCAAAATCAGGCTAGCTGCTCCCCAGCCTCCCTGCTCTTTAAAAATTCAGCATGGAAGCATCAGGTGATTAGGTGATGATTCCTAGGTAGGAGATATAGATGAGGAGCTCAGGCTCAGCTCCATAAGGGAATTACAGGAGAACATCTCCTGTAACTTCAGTAGAGGACTGTGAGGGTTTGATATGCCTTGTGGATGCCTGTAGTTGAGTGGAGGCCTTGACCACTAAACTGCCAGAGATTAGAGGGTTGGTAACAGGACTGTTAGTTTATGTTTCTTAACTATGTTATTTTTATGTTTCCACACATTTCCTTTTTTGTGTTGGGCAATACACAGATCCCTGAGGCTAGGGCTATGAACTGATCGGGGTATGGCCAATTATTTTCCCCAGGTTGGTTACTGAAACCACCAGCCGATAGCTCCTTTCTCCTCAAAAAGTCTTCTCCATTTCAGGGGGGCCACTCATGGAATCAGATACTTCCAAAGGTGTGGAAAGAAACCAGTCTGTTCCTCTTTCCCCAACGTATATTGAGATGCACCCACTATTACACAAATAACCTCTGTGCTGACTCTGGTTGACCAGGAAAATATTTGCTCAGATTGTTTACTTTGTCAGCGCTTTGGTTCAGATCCTCAAAGGAGTTTAGAGGCCTAACTTCCTTTGAGTTCAATGGGAATTAAGCCTCTAAGTACCTTTGAGGATTTGGTCCTTTGTGAATGGTCATTGGCACCTGCTATTGCTACAGAAAGCAGCAACAACTTGTTAAAAAATAGGAAAACCACAAAAATCAACAGGAGAATTCACAAGCAGGAGAATTCACCTGAAACAATTTTAGTATTTACGTTTTGAAATAGACTAAGTTTCAAGTTGCTGGTGTTGCTAATAGCATTTTAATCCACTAATAAGAAAAATTCTCTGTTCCTTGAGCATGTGATGTTGCCGTTTGGCAGAACACGAGAATAGAAATAGCTGGGAAGACTTAATCATAGCAGCGCCATCAACCACGAACACATGAGAACAGAAATAGCTGGGAAGACTTAATCATAGCAGCGCCATCAACCATTGCTCAAAATGAGATTTAAAAAAAAATGAGGTATGCTCCCCTTTCAGCTCACGTGCTTTAGCTAGCAGCAGTGAACTATGTGGCGCTATTCAAGCACTGCTACGACATGAAAGCTTGCTATTCACTGAAGTCAATGGCAAAATTCCCATTCAGCATCTCAGGGTTTGGCTTTTAATGGTTTTCTCATCTAGTAATAGCAAGGGTGATGGTAAGGCTCCCAGTAAACTGAACAGAGCTAGTGATATGCTCTTTCCCCAAACACATTTTAAGGGTACTGAGCACGTATGGCCCTATTCCTCACAGTGCTGAGAACCATCCATGACATGCTAAGCTTTGTGAACTCACACTGAAACCAAAGAAAATTGAAAACACCAAGCAACCTGCAGGTGGTGCTCATCACCTTGCAAGGCTGGGTCTTGCACAGGGCATCTTCCAATCAGAGGGTCTTATTGTGCTCAAGAAACACTAATTAAGCCACCCGGCCTGTGAGGTCAGTATTATTTGTATTCCAATTATATTCAAAATTGCTAATATAAACAAGAAACTATGATGAACAAAAACTGAGCTGGAGGGAGCACTGCCTGAAGAGCAGGGTGATATGGAAGAATGTGACCAGCAGGACAAGGCAGAGGAAGAGATCAGCAACTGGTAGTAAAATTGAATTGAGTAACACCTTGAGCTAGAGGGAGCACTGCCCGAAGAGCAGGGTGATCTGGCCACATTCTTTCATAAGGACAAGGCAGAGGAAGAGATCAGCCAGTGGTAGTAAAATTGAATTGAGTAACACCTTTATTGTAATGGGGAATGAGAAGGAGAAATGGACAGAGGATGGAGTGGCAAAGAAGAAGAGAAGGGAAGCCAGGCCCTGCAGTAGAGAGGAGGAAAAGATGGAGATAACCAGGGAGCGGAGCCTAAGGGGAAAATGAGGATGGGACTGCAAGAAAGCACATAAAAACAGATTTATATCAACAATAGGAAGAGACAGGTCAGGTAATCAGGGACTCCATACTCAGAAGAATTGACAGGTTTGTTACTAGATCTGATCCAGAGAATAGCAGAGTCTATATGTGCCACAAAAAGTAGAAGAATGCTAATGAAATTTGCTCATGATATAAAGTTGGGAAGCATAATTAGTACAGAGAAGGATTGGAATATTGTCCCGGAGGATGCAGATGATCTTGATGACTAGAGAGAGAAATGGGATGAAAATTCAATAGTACAAAGTCATACACTTCTCAGGACCTAATCACAGGAATCTCTGCTCAAGGCCGCATAAGTTAGAAGTGACAGAGGAGCAGAGAGACCTGAGTGCGTGAGTCCATCAAGGATGATTGTGCAGCATCAATGTGATGTGGCTGTGAAAAAGCAAATGCGACCCTTGGATTTTTTACGCACGGACTTTCCAATAGAACTAGAGGAGAATTAAATCATTGTACCAGGTACTAGTAAGACCTCATTTGGAATTCCGTGCACGGTTATGGTCATCTTCATTCAAGAAAGATTAATTGAAAGTGGAACAGGTGACAAGAAAAGCCATGAGGCTAACTGGGGGTTTGGAAGGGCTCTCTTAGCCTGGGAGAGCTTGTGTTCTTCAGTATAGCAAAAAGGCGGCAGAGAGGGGATATGACTAATCTCTCTACAAATGCATTAGGAAGCTAAATAACAGGGAGGGTAAAGAGTTTGATTTAAATCAAAGGACAATCTTGGCACAAAAAGAAATGGATGTACAATGACCACGAACAAATGCAGGCTGGAAATTAGAAGAAGATTTCTACCCCACAGAAGGGGAAGGTTCTGGAACAACTTTCCAATAGCCATTGTGGGGGCAACTTAAGGAGTTGTGGCGGCAAATTAAGAGACAGATGGAACAAACTTATGAGTGCAGTTCTAAAATGGGATAGTTTGTGATTGGGTGGGGCTGGGTGGGGCTCAGCATCCCCAGGGCTCTCTTCTGTTTTATATCATAGGTTCCTAAAGCTCAGCCTTCAGACAGCCACTGGCAGATGTCTTCCCCCCTCCCCAGTGTATTCTGGGAGGATGTTTTAAACATTTTCCTTCCAATGAAGCATCATGAATGGGCACGACTGGAGATGGGACACTGGGCAGGGTGAACCAGAAGCTCTGATGTAACACTGAGCATCCTCCTTCTCGTTCTCTCAGGGGCTCAGCTGGATGGTTCTAGTTTCCATGCTCAGGGCCAAACCAATATGTAGGATTAGGAAATAATTTTCACCAGGTCAGACTGGCAGTGACCTGAAGATTTTTTTTTTTTTTACTTCTTCTGTGGCATGTAGGTGCAGGTCACTTGCAAGGATTATTTGGGTGCATCCCACTTCATTTCCCTGCCAATGCAGGGGTGCACCACAGTCCCTCCTAGTCTTGGCTTGGGGCATGTAATAGTTTAGTCTCCTGTGAGTCTCATTTACTTGGGTCTCATTTTAGTTGTTGGGTTTACTGTGTGGATGCTGAGTGGTGTTGGTGGCCTGTATATTGAAGAAGTTGGACTAGTTTGGAAAAGAGCAGACTGAGGCTATGTCTAGAATGCAAGCTTCTTTCAGAAGAAGCTTTTCTGGAAGAGATCTTAAAAAAAAAACCTTCTGAAAGAGAGCATCCACACTGCCAAAGCGCATCGAAAAAGCAATCTGCTTTTTCGAAAGATAGCATCCACACTTAATAGATGCTCTCTCGCATGTAAGCTGTGATTACTATGGATGGAGCAGTGACCAGGGTACTTGTGCTTTTTCCTCTTCTTTCAAAAGAACTCCCTCTTCTCTGTACCCACACGCACCCACGTGCCTTTTTCCGAAAGAACTCTTTTGGAAAAAAAGCTTCTTCCCCGTAGAAAGAGGTTTACATATGTCAGAAAAAACCCTCTGTTCTTTCGCTTTTTTTTCCCCCCAAAAGAACACGATTGCAGTGTGGATGTAAGTGAAGTTTTTTAGGAAAACAGCCATTTTTCCTAAAAAACTCTGCAGTGTAGACATACCTGAAAACCCCTTGCAGGGTATCTAAAAGGGTGTCACAGGGAGGAGGGGGGAAAATTAATCCCATTGCTCCTTGTCTTATTATCAGACGCTAAGGAGAACAAAGTGCAGCAAGGGAAGTTTAACTTGGACATTAGGAAAAACCATCCTGTCAGGATGGTTAAACACTGGAATAAATTGCCTAGGGAGGCTGTGGAATCTCCATCACTGAAGACATTTAAGAACGAGTTAGACAGACATCTATCAGAGATGATATAGACCATGCTTGGTCCTGCCGTGAGGACTAGGGAATTGGACTGGACTTGATCGCTCGAGGTCCCTTCCAGTTCTATCATTCTAGAAGAACTGGGGGTCCCCTTCTGATCTTAAATTCAGTGATATAATCGCATGTGTTGACAAAAATAAAAACCATGCCAAACCAAAACACCTCCCTGCACATGCAGTTCTTCTGACAAGTGGATGAGAGAAAGAACAAATCACCCTGACATATGTTACTCATGTCAGGTAATGCACTTCTGGAATATGCTCAGAATCCAGGTAATGAAGGTGATAAGAACCCATACAGAATAAAATAGAATCTGAGACAAAGAAACCAGGCAACTGTCCTTGCAAGATGTGAGGCACTTACAGCAGGATAATAAGCTCCATGAATTCCTGTTGGAGTCAGAGCTATGCCCCAACTAACCTGTATAAGGATGTTTACAATGGATCAGAGAGTAGGATCC